TTCCTCCTTTCGGTGTATCGTAATTGAGACAACCAAGTAACCCAAAACTTCAGATAAATTTGAGTGATTTTCGAGTAAAGTCAGTTGGGTGCTTGCTCATTTTTCGAGTTCACATTCAAAAAGATACTACAAGAAAAAGACCCTTCTTGCCTCATTCTACTGCAGTCAGTACCAATTCAAATGCTTATCCCATTCTAATGTATTCCCATTTTGCTGTATAAAACTAATTAAACCTGTGTTTTACTACAACGCAAGCAAAGCACTTGGTACACACATTAATTAGCACTAATTTTTCGAAAATCCTAAATTAATACTCGATAAAAATCGCAACTTATTGTACAATATAATTTATAGAAGCATTACAGTTAAGCTGAATGTCAATGTTACCTGTCAATGATACATCCTAAACATTTATGAACTTATCCTACTCACATAGCGCAGGAACTACATTGCTTAGCTCTTCCACATACAATAAGATATAATAAAGTGAGCCGATTATTTCATAGAAAGATCTTCTCCATAGGCTTAATATCAATGAATACCCCAACTAACAAGGATAAAAAAATTAACAACTTAGTGATTTCTAAAAGTTAGTTTACATAAGAGCAACATAGGCTCAATTATGCACTCTCTAAATGAACCAGAGCTTTAAACTAGACAAAGTACAATAAAACAAAATAATTTCTTTTTCGCCTCAGAAAGTGATGCCAGACAAGCAAGAAAAGAATAGCTATACCCAGAGTACTGCCGTTTTCTGAAAATTCTCCACTACCAACTATGAAGTTGTTAATAGAGTAAAAGCCAACATGAATGGCCAAACTGAGGCAAAACAAGTAGTCATAGCAATTTGGCCATTAAGTAAATTATGTCCGTTACTTGTGAGGGTCTGCAAATAAATATAAAAACTGCTCTCGAACGATTTCAAAAAGCATGCTTGATGTGGTCACAGTTGCACTCAAATAAAACTTTCACTCGCCTCTTTTGACAGGCCTTCCTTCATGTTGTTTGGGCTTTCCTCTGCCCTTCAACTCGTCATTCTCCGTTATGGTATGCTCCTGAAGCCGGCCTCCACCGGACTCTTCTGTAGAAGGAAGCACTGGTGAATGCGTCGAAGGTGGGGCTGCTACTTGCGTCGGCGGAGGTTCTAAGAGCATAGTCCTTTGCATGTTAATAGTTCCAGTCTCCAAGCGGCTTCCATCGGGCAGAAGAAGCTGTAGATGTTTAGATGGCACACACACACACACACACACGCACACAAAAGTTCAGAAAGAAATAATGTTTTTGCATATTTGTTAAGCATGAATAAAGAAAGTGGACTAGCGGACACGAATGTGAGCATATCTGGTGAAGTCTTATGTTTTATAGTAAAAAGGGTATTTTTTATCCACTAAAATTAGAAGTGCTTATTTAATTCTTAGTGAGAATATCTCCACAATTAAATATTAAATGCTTCTGCTTGGGTTACTGGAAATGAGAGGCCCAACTGGATACTATCACCAGGTTAGCTCATAGGCTGATAATTTGGAATGCTTAGTTCGATGCTACTAAGAAGCTTAAACAAATAGTACCCTTTTGTGAATTATATTCAAATAAAACGCTTTCAACGGCTGAATACTCTGAAGTTTGATTGCTGGTCTGCTCAGAAAAGACTGAAGTAGTAGGTGAAAGTTGATTGCCTCAAAGGTCTTATTGATAAATAAAATAGGATAAAAGTTGGTTGATGTATTTTTTCTATGAAAGCCAAATTGTTTCGGTTGGATATGAATATGACAAGAAGTATCTTGATTTTCCATGAAGATGATTCGATTAGTCAGGATGGGGCTAAGCAATAAAGGTAAGAACTGTCTCTAATGCTCGAATATGTCATTGTCAATTGGGATTCTTTTTTTGCACATATTATCAGAAAAGATTTTAGCATAACATGAATTGATGGGAAAGCAGCATTTATAGTAAAATTCCTACATGTCTTCATTTGAAATAGTATTAATAAAGTGATAAATAAGCCAAATAATTGCAAGTAAACGTTTGCATAAATTATAAAATATCTCACTACATGTTTGGTTAACTTTTTTAGAGAAGTTATATGCTAATAAAATATTGCGGCATATATGGCAAGTTAAAATTCATGCCAAAGCATTATTGAAAAACCCCACTGCTAACACGAAAGCAACCTATCTTCCAGTGTTTCGATAGCCTTAGAAATTTCAAATTCAGAAAATGCTTTTATTACACTTATCTGGTAGCATGTAGTAGGGAAAAATGGCAAAATCCAGTGTGTGATCTCAGTTTACCGTAACGCCCCTCTGGTTGCTGTAGGTGGGGGGTACGCTGGTGACGATGATGACAACGCCGTTTTTGGTGATGTATCGATAAGCCTCCCTTTCGACGGATTCCACTTCTTTGGCCAACATTTCAGATTTAATTTGATAAGACCTTTTCACTTCCTTGCGGTCCGTTTTGTCAGTCTCCACATCCAAGCTGCCACTCGGATCTACTGCCTGACATCTTCTGCAAGCTCGACCACGAGCATCAGGTCTCACCAACCGAACCACCTGTTCATCAGTCTGAAATCCGGCTAGATCAAGCTGGACATTGGGTTCTTCTTGTTTTGCCATACATGCTGGACTTGACGTAGTTCTGCTGGAATCCGGATGATCCTCAGGCTTTGGCGAGCCTTTGCAAGAGGGAGCCAAGACAGCATCATCCTTTGGCTCTCCTGAGGCTTTTCCGAAAGCGAATTCGCGTAACGTCAGCGAGGCTCTTTGCTTGGAGGCCGACCAGATATCTACAGATAAATGTCTGAATTAAAAATTTTGTCCAAAGTGCCTGAGTACT